TGGGCATAAGCTTTCGTGGGTAAAAGCCGAAATGAGGTTTTTACCCACGAAAGCTTATGCCCAAATAAATCTGTTAGTCTTTAAGGTGCCACCAGACTCCTTGTTGTTTTTGTAGATACAGAATAACACGGCTACCCCCTGATACTTGACATCCTTGTACTCATTTACATAAAATAACATTCAAAGAAAAAAAGTATAGCCAATATATATTATTTTAAAAGTTGGATTTTTATTGAGAAACTGGAAAGACATTTAAATTAAAATGTCATTGGTACCATTTCCGCAGCCTGTTTGCCTGTAAAGTCAGGCTGCCTTATTTAACATGAGTCCAACCGTAGGGAACTAATGGAAGAGATAGTTAAATGTTTGGTATCAGGCAAGCTACCAACAATTGAAATCAATGCCATACAGAAGTTTTCATATATTGTATATAAATATACATACATGAGTAAATATAAAATTATAGGAGTAAAGCGTTCATGTATGCTTATTATACAACCATGTACTATGCTATTTAGCAGATGCTTGTGACACAACCAACCTACCTGGCTGGAGGAACAAACTGACAAGTGAGCAATGTGTTTATAATGTATTTATTTGTAATAATAATGACAATTTATTAATGGGAACTGCCTGCTTCGTCTCAAACATCTCTTTGCTCTCCCATTACTACTTGTGCTAAATCCACCAAGCTAAAAGTCTTAGCAAGGCAGCTCAGAGCAGAGCTTAGATTTCTTTAGTGTGCAGTACTTTTCTCCCTGAAATACACAAGTGGAAAATAGATTTACTTTCTCTGCCATCTTTGGAATACAGATAATACCATGCTCTGTGGTGTCAGTTCTTCCTCCTCCAAAGCCTTTGAGAGCCACTTGTGTGTCTCATGCTACTGTCTTCCAAACAATTCTGGGTAACAGTGTGCTTCCTCATTCTCACCAAAAAAAGACACTGAACGAGAGCATTGTTACATAAAAGGAATGATATTAATTTTAATTAATTAATTAATTTTGTTAAGTATTTCGTTAAAAATGTGTAAGGCAAACAATGTGGTAACTACTAAAAATTAAAGTAAACTGGCTTCATGAAAGTTACATTCTTGGCATCTTATAGGATTTTAAGAGTTTCCTTTCAATAGTGGCAATACTACAGACAATTCAACAGATGAAAAACAATTCATTTCTCTTATCCAACCGCATCTTTTTCCTAGGCTCAACAGGCATGTCAGGAGACATATTAAATCTTTACTTACAGGCCATACTATTCTCTTATGTCATAAACTATTACCACACTTGGCAATAAAAATCATACTTTTTAAGGGACTCTCAAAGTACTGCACATTTCTTTTTGGGGATGGGGGGGGGAGAGGCTATGGACTAATTTTTCCTTCTGTATTCTGTTGCCATATAGGATTGAACCTCACATATGAAGAGCTGTTCCAGTCTCCACTTTTTATGTGAGCATTTAATTTAGCACTGGTGACAGCTCTGGAGAATGAAGCCACTGAACAAGCGTACTGCACCTCCGAGCACGCCTCAGCACTGAATGGGTTTTCCCTAGACGTGAGATTAAAGTTCAGGCTTCAAGTTCATGTACTCCTTGGTTTCTCTGAAGAGATGGTCAATTAGTTATCACTTAGTACACAATACAGAATACTTTGCACTTCTGCAGAGCATTTCATCTGAGGACTTTCATCTACAACAAGCAAAGGCTAAGGGGCAAATTCTGCACTACACTTCCTGGGAGCTGCAGCACACAAGGCACAGCCCCGTGGGAAATGGGGGCAAAACTTTGTGCCTCCCAGATTCTGGGCTGCTCTGGGGGCTAATGTGAGCCTCATAAATTGAAGTAGCCTTGGGGGCTGCTTTAAGTAGCAGCAGACTGCAGGGCTGTCAGCAGGCTGCATTGCAGCCCACAGTCCCGGTTGCACCCCCAGGTCCATGCCCAGTCCAGGGACAACAACTGCAGCAGTGGAATTCTCTCCTGGCCACTTGCAGTGCGTTAAGACAGAGGAGCAGGAGTCTAAACCTGTCCCTGAATCTGGATTAAAGTAGCTATTTTAACAAACGCATCGGTAGCCTAAGTGCTTAAAGAGGGGAAAACATTATTTGGGGAGAAAACTGGTTCTATTACATTAACAGCATCTCATTGTTACCATTCCTGATGTCCAATTTGTGTCCATTTATTCTTTTACATGGGGACTGTCCGGTTTGGTGGGAAAAGGTGAGGGTGGACACAAGCTGTACCACTTCTTCAGAGCCTGAAGAAGAAGAGTTTACACAAATCAGACATCAGGAATGGTAACATATACAAAAGCCAGTAGGAGAACACTTCAATCTCCCTGGACATTCTATTACAGATTTAAAAGTAGCCATTCTTCAACAACAAAAACCCTTCAAAAACAGACTTCAAAGAGAAAATGCAGAGCTACAATTCATTTGTAAACTTAACACCGTTAATTTGGGCTTGAATAGGGACTGGGAGTGGCTGGCTCACTACAAAAGCAAATTTTCCCTCTCTTGGTATTGACACCTCCTCACCAATTATTGGGAGAGGACCACAGCCACCCTGACTGAATTGGCCTTGTCAAGACTGGTTCTCCACTTGTAAGGTAACTCCCTTCTCTTCATGTGTCAGTATATTTATGCCTGCATCTGTAATTTTCACTCCATGCATCTGAAGAAATGTTTTTTTTTTTCCACCCATGAAAGCTTATGCCCAAATAAATCTGTTAGTCTTTAAAGTGCCACTGGACTCCTCGTTGTTTTTGACAAAAAGAGACGACAGTCAGAGAAACCAAACTGACCTATTGACTAATGTTACTCTCCCTCACCCTATTTTTGTTAGTAGTAAACATATTTAGAGGGTTCTATGCCTAGATATTAAAGGGGGTGGGGATAGGCGAAGACCAATTGACCAGATGAATTTAAAATACTTTGGAAATATTTTATTAACAGAATTACCAATTTTGGTTGGATGTATTCCTAAAGGTCTCATCACATGACATAATATTTAATTAAAGATTAATCTTTAATTCCTGGATACTCCAGGGCAATCCTGGATGGTTGGCAACCCTATTTATTTTAGAGATGTAAATATCATTTTAAAAGTTAACTGTTTAAACGATTAAAATTCTATAATTTAAACTGTTATCTGGTTAAAGGGAGAGGGGCTGGGGTTGCTCTGGCCAGCGATGCGGGGTCTGGGGTCTGCTGGCAGGCTGTGGAGCTGGGGCCAGCTGGCCAAGCAGCGGGGGGAGGGGAGGCCGGCACAGCCGGGCTGGGGTCCGGCTGGCGGGGTTGGGGTAGGATGCAGCCAGGGCTGGGGTCCAACCAGAGTGGTGCAACTGGGGGTTAACAGTTAATGTGGGTTAACTAGTAAGCCTAATGCTTACCGGTTAACTGGTTAACATTTTACATCCCTAATTTATTCATCTTTAAAAATCCAATCCATGTACATGGCAGAGGGGCATTGCTTGCACATGATAGCATATATAACATTAGTAGATGTCCAGGTGAATGAGCCCTTGATGGTGTGGCTGATGTGGTTGGGTCTTCTGATGGGATCGCCAGAGTAGATATGGGGAAAGAGTAGGCAACAAGATTTGGTAAAGAGACTGGTTCCTGGGTTGGTGTTTCTGTGGTGTGGTGTGTAGTTGCTGTTGAGTATTTGCTTCAGGTTAGGGGGTTGTCTGGAGGACTGGCCTGCCTCCCAAGGTCTGTGAGAGTGAGGAATCATATCAAGAATGCTTGATAAAGATCTTAAAACTACAATACCCACCTGGGGAAGTGAAGAAACAGACTGACAGAGCGAGACGGGTACCCAGAAATCAACTACTACAGGACGGGCCCAACAAGGAAAATAACAGAACACCGCTGGCCATCACGTACGGACCCCAGCTAGTTACTGTTGGCAAGAAATTTTGGTCCCCATAAAAGGAAACAATGTGTATGTGCATTTACCCCTCTGAAGTTCTATAAAAGTTGGGGAAGCAAAGTATGAAACAAAACCAAACAAAAACAGAAAAACACACATCCAACCCTCTTCTCCTGTAGTTAAATAATGAAGCTGTTTACATCTGGAAACAATTAACAACTAAAAAGGAAGGTGGGCAAGTATCAAGGAGGAGGAAAGCAGGAATACTTGCAGTATTAAGTAAAACAAGTTATGTGTATCTGAATGATTAAAATAGTATAGAGTTGTAACTGAAAACTGACATACACAAATAGCATTTCAGGTGGTTTAAAATACAAAAGACCTCTTTTTAATTATCAATGTACAGAGGCCATAAACCTATGTAGTGAGTTATCAAAGCAAAGCATCATAACTGCGAATTGTCTACACATGTAATGTGTTCATAATACCTATGAAATAGAAATGTTAATGTCATCTATCCCGTTTTATATTATGGTCTGTTTTTAAGACTCAGAGCACTATAACCCTACTTCTACTTTTTATAAGATCCTAAAACACAATACTATTTCATCAAAACTTGGGCCTGAGAACAGAGGAAGGCTAGTCAGTTACAGTTTATACCTTAAACTGCACCCTCTGCCACTGGTTTAACCAGGTGCACATTTTACTGAATTGGGCCTTGCAATAATAGTACAGATAAAGAATATTTAAATGCATATCTTACATTATTTAAATATATACTCTTTTTAATTATGAAAGAATAACACACAAAAAACTACTCAAACAAAACTGAAATATATTAAAAACAATCTACTAAATGATGAACAAAACATATGGTAGATAAGACAAGGGCCTTCAAACCTGAATGGGCTAGATGGACCATTGGTCTGACCCAATATGGCCATTCTTATGTTCAGACCAGTGACACTAAACTTAATGTGTTTTAACTTCTTTACAGTAATTCTTCATTCACAAATGTTATCCTACTGAATACAGGCCATCTGATGGGTTTCATTGTTCTACATGTGTACAAAACAAATCAATATGCAAAAAGGATATACAATTTGAATCTTCTCCCTAAAGGAACTATTTCCATCTGAAATCATTAAGGGGGGGGGGGAATTCTTCCCTTCCCTTTTACTTATTTGTTATAGGCAGATGAAATCACTCAGCAGATACAATTTTTACACAAATCAGTTCATAAAGACATCATTCCAAAGGAGATACACTGCTCTAGGAAGACATGTCATATTTAAGCCCATTTCTAAAGAGCTTCTTACATGTACTTCAGTTGATAATCTCCTCCATCTGGAGTGAATAAGTGCAAGAACACAAACTACCAAATAAGGTTCCACTGTAAATCTGAACTCACATTATCTACAGGCTCTTTTGTCTAAGGCAAACCTTACCAGCATTGTTTACCAACGAAGGAGGTAAATAATGTCTTCTATTTTTCTTTACTTCATAATTTACTTTGATTTAATAAAGCAATTCTACCCATTTGTTGACTTATTTGTTCAGTAGAGTTCTTTGGTTTTCTACAGGCTCAATACACATTATGATAATGGCTACAAAATTACAAAGAAAAGTTTGTGTTGTAACCTGCACGACTGGACTCTAACCTGAATTTTATAAACCCAGCCCGAAGTTTTCATCCTTAAGTCAAAGCATAAAAGTTGTTCTTCATTATTTGCATAATCATAAAAGCTGCATAGCTATACCATCACAAAACAGACTAACTGAATCATTAACCACCAACGATGCCGTTAGAAATACACAGCAGTCCTAGCTCTAGAAACTCAGGTGAGCAGGTAAAGCCTTGTACAAAGTAAACATGAGACACCTTATCGTCACATATAGAAGTCAAGAACATGTCTGTCATGATATTTTTCTCAAATCTCCTCTTTAATTAAATTTAATTAATGTGAACAGTGACAAGAGGCTGGATAGACAGCATAGCCAATCAGGTTTTAACCTGTTCGTCCCGGTTTCTAGGGAAGTCGCTCACGTTGTCAGTTTCAAGAGTCAGCAAGAACGCTAGTAGGATTCGCTTTGTTCATATATATCTAATATTAAATAGAAATATACTAACTGCCACTTCCCAAAGAAAAGCACAGTTTCATCAAGAAACTATATGTTTCTCTCAGTTTTACTTTATCTTTTTTTAAATTAATATTTAAAACCATTTACCCTAATTATAAGAGGAAACATCAAGGCTGAGTTTGTTTTCTTTTTAATTAATATAAACAATTACTATTGAACTCTTTAATCTCCCTTCTAGGAATTGAAATGAGCAGATAATAACAGGCGTGTCCTCACAATTACAAGTGTCCAACAAATAGATATTTTAACAGAAGAAGGTATTTCCAAATGAACCAATCGTGTAGAATTTACTTATTAAGTAATGCTGACTTCAAACATATTGAAATTCAATCATTACACTACAGCTAAAAATAAAAACAGTCTTTTTTTTAAAAAAATACACAAAACAGAGAGTTTTATAGTAGTGAAAATCAGACATTTTACAGTATGATACTGTCAAAGGTCACTATATCCAGCACAGCTAAAGGAACTCAGTCCCAAAATTCAAAACTTAAAACTGAACCATGCCACGGGAATTTAAAATGTAACTTGTAACTTAAGTTACAAATTGAAACCAAAACCACTTTAATAATACACCGCTACCTTGATATAACGCGACCCAATATAACACAAATTCAGATATAACGCGGAAAAGCAGTGCTCCAGGGAGGCGGGGCTACGCACTCCGGTGGATCAAAGCAAGTTCAATATAACACGGTAAGATTTTTTGGCTCCCGAGGACAGTGTTATATCGAGGTAGAGGTGTATTTTTTTAAATGAACTTTTAACCAACAATTCTTTAATCATTCAATATCTGCCTTAATGCAGAATCCCGAGTACAGGCTAATTGTTAGCACAATCTCACAGATTACTCAAGTACAGTACCCTCAGGAAAAAAGGAATTGTCCGCTCCACATGGTGTCATTATTCAGTGACATGCCCATCACATGACTAATTAGGAGGAATTACTCAAGAAGTGTTTACGATTTAATAATAAATGACTATCTTTGGGGAAACCAAAGTAAATTAAACCCAATAATATTGCTATGTAAGGGCTTGTCTACACTGTAACAGTTAGCTCGAGTTAGGCCATGTCTACACTAGCGAGCTTACAGCTGTACCAATCGCTCGTGTAGCCTCTCTATGCCAACAGAAAAGAGCTCTCCGATCAACATAATAAAACCATCTCAAAGAGCGGCGGTAGCTATTTTGGCAGGAGAAGCTCTCCCACCGACATAGCGCTGTGCAAACTACCACATATGCCAGTGAAACTTGTATCAATAAGGGGGGTGTTTTTTTCACACACCTGAGTGACATAAGTGGTAGTGTAGACATGGCCTTAGTACACTCGAGTTATTCCCCTCCAGCTAGCCTCACTTGAGTGAGAGCAGCTAC